GTTATTAAATTGAATGTTACACATCCACGAAAGTAATTATATCGCGTTAAATTGTTACACCAACTGCTATTGAACTTAAGGAATGTCTCCAAAAAGATTATTCTCAAAAAAGTAATAATAAGAAAATCATTGAATTAGCAGAATCAAAACGCCAAGAGATAATTAAATCAGAAAAATATCTTTCAGGAGCAAAAAATTATAAACACCATGTAGATGCATTCTATACAAGTTGCTCACTTAGTAAGTTAATTGAGCAGGCTAATAATGAACTGGCTAATATATCAATGGATGATTATGATGATTCATCAAATAAAAAAATTCAACTAAATAGTTTAATTGAATATAATTTTGACAGTAATGCTTCAGTATTTATGCCAATGCATATGAAATGAAAAATGATGGCAATGATGATGATGATAATGTCAGAGATTGTGGTAGTGGTGATGTTATTAGTAGTGATAATGTTAATGATAGTGGTGATGATAAAAAGAAGCAATCAAAAAATATTTTTATAATTTATATATTTTTTTTATGCTTGTATTATTTTATTCTATTTAATACATTTTACCATTTAACTGAATAAATATTGTTACCAAAATTAGGATTTAACGCTAATTTGTTAGTCGAAATACCCTAATTCCGAACCAAATCTTTTATTTCTATTTTTACTTTATTTTACTTTATTTTTATATTAATATCTACATTTATTTATTCCTTATATTTTATTTCTTATTTTATTTTTATTCATATTTATTTACATTTTTATTATTACATTTTTATTTTTTTTATTCGTATAATTAGAAATTAGCATCGCGGTTAGAATGTTACGTCGCAATTAAAGTGCGATATCGCGGCTAGAATGTTAGATTGCAATGAAGTCGTTATTAATTAATTGTATAAAAGAAGCTCAAATTCGACTTGCTTGTAAAATAACTTTGTCTTAGTTTAATAACTTTGCAATAAGTTAATTAGTTTCGACTAAGGAAAACTTTGTAATAACTTGGTAATAACTGTTAATAACTTTGTTATAAGTTAATTAGTTTCGACTAAGGAAAACTTTGTTACAAGTTAATTAGTCTCGACTAAGAAAACTAAATAAATAAAATAAATATTTTATTTGACCAAAATTCATTCTGATCCACACAAAACAAAAATAATTGTTATTATTATCACCAATTAAAATACGCTCTCCCAAATTTAATCAGTGACAGTATCAATGACCTTATTTCTACAGATGAAACTGATAGCAGAATCTTGGAAAGAATCAACATTATTTCCAAATTAAAGTCATTTAATGAAAGTAAAAAGATACTAAAACAATTTTATGCAGTTGATAATATCTTTGGTAAAAACTTAGTAGATTCTACACTATTGGCATTAAGAGCATTTTATGAAAAGTTGTAAGTTTATTTATTATTTTCATGAATTGCTATTTTATATTGGTAGAAAATATATTTAGGGTTTGTATTCACAGATACCATAAGGAGGTCACTCAGGGGTCACACACTATTAAAATCAAGTGTTTTTAATGGATTTTAGCTGATTTGATAGTGTGTCAAATATAAGATCAACATATGATTTGATAGAATTAGGCTTAGAAAATTATGAAGAAAAT